GGAAATAATGCTGAGTCGTCACGAGTTTATTGGACCACATGAATCCCAGCGCATGTATAAGGTGTTGACTAATTAACCCTAGGACCCTACACCATTCAATTATAGCAAATTTCCTACATAGGGGTTATCATGAAAAAACGTGTAGAAATTACATGATATATTTCAGATTGGTTTATGATGTAATGTTCCCCCAAAAAATACAATTTCGAACAAAAACATTTTGTTTGCAATTTCCGAGTGAATCGAAAAAAATATTTTTAAATTTTTCGTATGCGTCATTCATATGACATGTAGCATGCATTTTTATGTAATTTTATTTTTATATTTGCTTATTTGTGCATGTTTTCTCACTTGTCACTTTTCATATGTTTGTGTTCTGTGTACGAATTTGTTGCTGTTTACTTTTAATTTTTATATCTTCCGCCATATAATATTCTTTTTAAAAGTTACTTCTAAGCATGGGATTTGATTCTGCTACGCACTCTGTTGATGCACGTTTCTCTTCTGGTTTTTTGTCATTATACCATACATAGGCTACGATGCTGTAAAAAATTTTTTTTCTGGATTAAATTTTCTTATTTTCCTCTGTGTATTTTTACCCGCCAGGTAAAATAAAGGCCATTTATTATTATTATTATTATTATTATTATTATTATTATTATTATATGATTTTAGTGTCTAGCACCGCAGAAGGGAGAATACGTGAAAGATTAAAGAATTGAAAATTAGAGGGTCATCAGAATATTTGCAAATGCTAAAGTATATATATATATATACTAAGTGACATATAAATTCGAACACCCAGTTTAAATGGTTTTATTTTAATAAAATTTTGTATAAGTACTTAATGAAGCATAATAAGTAAATGTTAAAAATTTCAAAATGATTGTACTGCTTTAAAGCCCTTTTGGATGGAACTGTAATTTCAAGTTTAGAACTGTTCTAACACCCTATACTACGAGTATATGCAATTAAACCACAAAAGGAGATTCCTAATCATTTTTTAAAATATACTGCCACTCGAATAGTAGTAGACTATTAGTTAGCGGTATTTTTCTTACGTTCTTTGAGGCCGACTACAAGCAACGAAATGTTGCTTGAAATCTTTTACGTACCAATTACTTTTGAAAGTGAGGTCTGGCCATTACCTCCTGGAAGCACGGAAGCTCGTAGAGAATGATGAAATAAGCTCTCTAGAGGGCAATCAGTCGGCTATCTTGAAACGATGATGTCTGCATTCTGAGCACCACTCGTCTGTGCAAATACCTTAGCCACGTTTCCGTCCTCCGTAAATGGAATAACAATCTCGCTCTCTCTTCCCGAAATCACTGTGAGAGGAAAAACGGTCCCAGTGGAAATAATGCTGAGTCGTCACGAGTTTATTGGACCACATGAATCCCAGCGCATGTATAAGGTGTTGACTAATTAACCCTAGGACCCTACACCATTCAATTATAGCAAATTTCCTACATAGGGGTTATCATGAAAAAACGTGTAGAAATTACATGATATATTTCAGATTGGTTTATGATGTAATGTTCCCCCAAAAAATACAATTTCGAACAAAAACATTTTGTTTGCAATTTCCGAGTGAATCGAAAAAAATATTTTTAAATTTTTCGTATGCGTCATTCATATGACATGTAGCATGCATTTTTATGTAATTTTATTTTTATATTTGCTTATTTGTGCATGTTTTCTCACTTGTCACTTTTCATATGTTTGTGTTCTGTGTACGAATTTGTTGCTGTTTACTTTTAATTTTTATATCTTCCGCCATATAATATTCTTTTTAAAAGTTACTTCTAAGCATGGGATTTGATTCTGCTACGCACTCTGTTGATGCACGTTTCTCTTCTGGTTTTTTGTCATTATACCATACATAGGCTACGATGCTGTAAAAAATTTTTTTTCTGGATTAAATTTTCTTATTTTCCTCTGTGTATTTTTACCCGCCAGGTAAAATAAAGGCCATTTATTATTATTATTATTATTATTATTATTATTATTATTATTATATGATTTTAGTGTCTAGCACCGCAGAAGGGAGAATACGTGAAAGATTAAAGAATTGAAAATTAGAGGGTCATCAGAATATTTGCAAATGCTAAAGTATATATATATATATACTAAGTGACATATAAATTCGAACACCCAGTTTAAATGGTTTTATTTTAATAAAATTTTGTATAAGTACTTAATGAAGCATAATAAGTAAATGTTAAAAATTTCAAAATGATTGTACTGCTTTAAAGCCCTTTGACCTTTAATAATGTGTGGATGCTCCCTGATGTGCTACGCATTCTCCAACGCGCCTAGGCATGCTTCTGATCATGTGGTCAATGTCCTCCTGTGGTATCTCATTCCAGGCAACCAAGGAAAGTTGGATCTGCCAGGGTGTCAAGATAGGGTAAAAGATGGGGTTCTAGAACGTGGATATAACGCTGCGCGATCATGTTACCTCTGATGAAGATTAACGGTGACCTGGAACCATAAGCTATAGCACCCCAAACCATAACTCCAACAGTGTGATGAACATGTCTTTCCTCCTTTCACCACGTCGCCTTCTAACCCTGGCACGACCATCGTGCATGCCTAAACAAAATCGAGACTCGTCACTAAAGACAATACTGTTCCATTCCTGATCCCAGAGTGACCGTTGTCTGCACCACTCAAGGCGATTACGTCGGTGTTCTCGAGTTAAAGGGAGGACCCAGTGTAGCCGGTATGAAAACAAGCCAAAACTTCTCATTCGTCGGTAAACACTTCGCATGCTAATAGGTCTTCCGTGTTCTGCAAACCATTCATTTGCAATGGACCTGGTAGTGGAGAAACGGTCCCTTAAGGCCAATAATCTTAGGCGGCGATCCTCACGGTCTGTTGTTCTACGGCATCGTCCAGTGCCCCTTGCTCTTTGTGTACGGCCTTCTCGAAGCCATGCCTGACAACACCTAACCACAGTGTCTACACTTCTTTGCACTCTAACTGCAATTGCCCGAAAATAATGTCCAGCTTCCCGAAGTCCCACTATACGGTCCCTATCAAACTCACTAAGTTGACGAAATCGTACAGGTCTCCGTACTCTAGGCATCGTAACCGATCGTAAAGGATGTCAAGAACCAAAATCCGCCAACGTTGATTCTTTACTGCGGCTGAAATATTCATTTTTAGAGCGTTAGTGTATTAAAAAAAAGCAGTATAAAAACCGGAATGTCCAACTGATAAGGCTGAAAATTTGTTCACTTGTTATTTACAGTAAGATAAATACATTCACCCTCTTTTATTAAATTAAAACCATTTAAACTGGGTGTTCGGATTTATATGTCACTTAGTATATATGTAGGTACAAAATAGAAGCTGCAGTCTGATATAAAATTATTCTCTATTCACCATGCAAACATTACCGTTTCGCCAGAAACGTCACCACAGTATTGAACACTTCAACAAAACAAGTAACGACGTTGCTACATGCCCTTCTCCTTGACGAAAATCGTTTGTTAGGATAACTTCCAACCCTGAACTACTTCCTGTCCCGGGTGGAAGGAAACAAATTTTCTGTTTATACTGAACAGAAACCTTGTCAACGATTGCCTTGACGTGACGGATTTTCGATAAGCAAACATGTGTCATCTAGTCTAGTCCAGTTGGGCAGCGTTATGCTTTGTATACTAGAGAAGCAGCATAAACAGATCCTAAACATCGTGTATCGAGTTATAACGTGACGAAAACTTCTCAATATAGTGGTTGGACCAGAATAAGATATCAAGTTCACGGAAACATAGATTAATTAAGGACAGCTTCTAGAAAACGTATCATACGGGGTTTCCCTCCTCCGAAGACTCAGGCCTTTAGAGAAAGTCACTGGGCATGGATTATTCACCAATAACTCACGAATGGCACTACAACTTAACGAAGTTTTGACATCATAATAACCAATTGGCCGCTCAATGGGAACTGGAAAAACATAGTCTTGTTATTTTTGCTGTCTCTTTGACAGTGAGTATACTTATTGTATCAATTTCGGTATTGGATCCAGTGTAGTGTTTCCGCCATTCTGAAGACACCGTAAAATAATAGATTCGTAATTAGAGATCCAAATAAACACATGATACAAATTTTCAGATAACTTATACCTGGATTTTTGGATTGTTGTCAGATTTTCAATTAGAGCAGTATTGAAACAAGAACTTTTTTTAACAAAACTGCATTTTGTTGAAATTAAGCAAGACCATTTTTTTAATTAAAGGATCAGACTTTCCAAAAATAGATTTTGAACCATTATTATACAAGATCCTAAAAATGTTAGCTATATTTTGTAGAGATGTGGTGATGTGAATAGCCATGGACACTTGGACAGTATATGATAACTGGTTTCTATGCTGTCATAAATTCATAAAAGGGAATCTGTTCATAATTTGAGATATACTGTAGAGTTTTGCAGTATAATAATAATAAACGTCTATATTGTCCCAAGTCAGGTTCGATTTCATCCAGAGTCTTTTGAATAACCTTTGTGTCGAATAGTTCGACTCTATATCTCACATATAATTACTGCAATCCATCTTTTTTTAATTATTGTTAATATTGCAAAATACAAATAGTCTTTGTTCATGCTGCTGACAATTTTTGAATGTCTTACAGTCGTCAAGTATTCAAAAGTACAGTACAAGAACGAAGACATTAATTGCACAATAAACCACTAAATCTATATAACAAAATAACTGGTACATCCATAAAATGTCTCTGTTGTGTTTTGAGTGCCTTTCTCTGAAAACATAGGTATAGAACGCTTTGCTTATCAGGAAATGATTTAGGCTTTTTGAAAATACATTGAAGTCTGAAATTTAACGGTAGCGATCTAAAAACGAATGGTCAAATATGATTGATATCATTTCTTCTGTGATCTAGTATTAATAACCAAATCTGTAAATTATCCCGTTTCCCCATGTTATAAACATCTTGTGACTAGTTAGAGAATATTCAGATATATTTTTCTTTAGATGCTTCATCCAGCGGTATACATACTATGTAAAAATACTTTAATGAGCTGATTATAGATACCTGTTTATGTTTAGCAACCTCTTGGTAACACTTTTTAAAAATAATTCTCACAACTTGTCACTGTAAACTTCGTGCGGTATGGATATAGTGATCCCAACAGTAAGCTTGGGATCTAAACTAAACCCAAGATCCATCACTGAGACAATATCTTCGTACTTGAAAGCCATGCATCGGATTTTTTATAAGAAAAAACATGCTTTGAGTTTTATTACTATCCAGAACCGGACCATTTAGATCATGGAACCATGTTCCAGCTAGGGATTGCATAAGGTCCATATCGTCCAGTAGTTTCTCATTTGACTATACTATTCGTCATTATTCGTCAGAGCGGTCCGGTGGACCTTTGCTCTTAGTTAAAAGTCTCGTCGGTCTGTAAGTCTGTCAGGTCTGGCTACCCAGATACCAAACATGTTTGGTACTGTGATTGCCATTGTCATGTAAAATCTATAACGAAACGTAAAGTTTCCCATGCAGTTTGTTCCATTAAATAGACATAGTGGAGTGGTCGGTAGCATTGTAGTACACCCGAGAACTTTTGATATCTGAACACAAAAAAGTTCTAATTTCAGTTTTTACGGATTTACAGAATGATTTATCTAAGCATGCCAAATTTTGCACGATAACAAAAATACCTAGGAGTTACGTAAAACTAGACGAGTGGATGAAAAATCCATGGCTGGACTCGTTTTTTTCGGCCTTTTCGCTTTTTATCAAAATCAACACCTATTACGTTGAACATAAAAATATGTAAATGTGTTGGCTATATAAAGGGTATTAAGGACTGGACAACTTTCTTTTTAAATGAAACGCAAACCATTGGAAATATCTAGGAAATTTTATTTTTGGATTGAAGTATACTAAAAATATTTAGGTATGGAATTCGACCTCGTTCAAATATCCACCACCGGGGGAGTTTGCAGTGATTGACTCGTTGAACCCGATTTTCAATGACTCGGTCATACATTTCGACAGAAACGGCCGCTATATCTCGTTTAATATTGGCTCTGAGCTCCTCTAACGACGCCGGCTTGTTGGCATAGACCAATGATTTAATGTAGCCCGACAAAAAAGGTCTAGAGGTGTTAAATCACACGATCTAGGTCCATTTCTCGATATAACATGTTCACCGAATTTTGGTTTCAATGTGTCGATTGTTTCACCCGCTGTGTGGCTTGTGGCACCGTCTTGTTGAAACCACATATCACTAATGTGCAGCCCATCCAATTGACCAAAAAAATAACGTTGCGATGTCCGTTGACTGTAACGTGAGGGTTATTTTCATCAACGAAAAAAAAAATGGCCCAATGACACCACCGGCATGTAAACCACGCCATACAGTTATTTTTTGTGGATGGAGTGGTGTTTCTTGAAGTACATGAGGGTTTTCACCTGACCAATGACGCATATTCTGTTTTTTGACGAAGTCGCTAAACAAAAATGCGCCTCATCACTGAAGATGATTTTGTGATGAAAAAGAACTCAAAATTTTGTGGTTAGATTCAGTTTGCTTTATTACCTTGTACTTTATTAAGTGCGCCGTTCTGTAAGTGATACTCTGAATGTATTATTATTTCCCAGAAAAAAAGATCAATATATGATATTAATAAAAATGAAAATCAATGCTATGTATCCTATTTACCTATTTAGGTAGTTCTTTCTAGTGATTCAACTCTACTAACTGATATTGTACAACTACCGTTCTGCTTAGTATGCAGTTCCACTGAATTTCACCCTCTAGAACGACTTTCAATTGAATAAAAAATCTATTAGAACTAACTATACTAAAGATGCGGCTCTATATATTAGGTTTTTCATCATAATATTCAGTTGGCCTGGAAAGTCAAATTAAGTGCTTTTGCATGACATACATTTTATCGTTTATTTATATCATGTATTGCTCTTCTTTCTGAGAAATAATAGTGAAGTTTAGTTTACAGGGCGTTGTACTTGATAAAATACAAGGATGTTAAAAAAACTAAATCCGAACCAAGACCTTTGAGTTCCCGAAATCCCTTTTTAAGCGTTATTTTGTGAAATTTCAACAATATCAAGTTGATGGCCCTTGAAATTTTGAGTTTTCTGTCATATAAACTGCTAAGAATAAGGTATTCGAATAAATAAAAATTTTTAACTACAAAATCAAAAGACGCGAAATCTATCTATTTTGCTAAATCCACCATCCATTGGCTTTTTTGTACCTAGTCAAATATCCCAATATTCAGTTTAAAGGCTGTGGGTTTTGATAATGAACAAAAATAGAAAATTATCAATTGCGGTCCTGGATTTTGCAATTGTCCGCCTACCTTCACGTTACACCTAGGTAAATTTGTTATCTTGCAGAATTCCAACAAAATCGGTTCACTACTGCCTCAGATACTGTTATATTAAAGATTTGGCGTGTTTTGAAACTTTTTTATTTTCAGATTTGGAAGGATCTTGGTTTGTATTACCTACCATTCAATTACAGAGCACCCTGGATCGACCACTATGTGCATACCTCTACACATTAGGACCCCGTGTGATGTGTAATAAAAATATCGATCCAGATTGGTTGCACGAAGAGACAATGGAGTGCCATCCAAGCGAAACAAATGAGCACTGAACTGATCGTCCCGTGGAAAGGAGATGCTCGATATATTACCATGGCATCGGAGATTGTTACTCATAGACATTGGTCATGAGTGCGATGAAACTATTCCCATATATTTGTCCACTATATCGTGTAGGACCATAGGACATGCCCGGTTGTCTGTGTTGAAAAGCTAGGTACTTCAATTCCACTCATAATCGCCTGATTTTCGCATCGAGGCCAATTCTCGGAAAGGATGGAGTAGAATAACCAATGGACGGTGGGCACAGTTATATTTTCTTTTCCAGGCTTTTTCTGACAGCTTTTTTCGATTATCAAATAAGTTCCGGCATACAAAATAATACGATTTGTTCGTACAATTAATCTTCATATCATTAAATATCTCAACAAAAATAACGTATAGGTTCCAGCACTTATCCCACAGAGTTAGAATGGTAGTCTTATGTGTTAGTCTAGTTATTGCAGATGGAACTGTATTAAATAGAAAAATAAAGAAAATGTTCTGTGAGTCACAGATACTCATGTAAAATAGCTTACTGCAACATTGTTGAATATATATATATATACAGGGTGACTCCGAAGTTGAGTCATTTATTTTAACAGTGAGTAGATCTGATCAAAAGAAATGTTTTTTTCCTTTAACATTTTTGTGGTAAAATTAAAGTAACAAAGTTATAGCCCTTTAGAAGTTTGAGTACCGCCCTGTCTCAATAATAATATTATGTGCTCGTGTTTGGCGACAACGGATATACTCCGCCTTATCGGTTCATCGCATCGGAAACAAAAAAGCGAAAGAATTTGAAACGCTGATCACGATATTTTTATTCAGTCTGTGTCAGCCGGTAACGCGTGAGTGAATAGTGGTGTTTGCTGCGTGGCTCAAACGAAATAAAAAATGGCACATATTTATGCGGATCGGTTTCCCAATCGAGTGCAACCAACCCCTCGTGCCTTTGTTAATGTAGTACAACGGGCTCGTGAATCAGGTGACTTAAGACCTCACAGGGGAGAGCATGCCGGTGCTCCAAGACCTCACGATCAAATACAGGTCCCACTGAAATACTTGTCGGGAGGATACTTTATAAAACAAGGTAAATTTTTTTTTTAATTTTTTTTTATTTTTACACACATATTTTGGTTTATCTTCCTTCTACAATTATTATCTGAAAATTATTGACTCAACTTCAATATATATATATATAAAAAAAAAATTCAAAAAATGTTACCTTGTTTTATAAAGTATCCTCCCGACAAGTATTTCAGTGCGGGCCTGTGCGCCCAAAAGCATGTCACAAAACACAAATACTGTTCGAAATGATTTCCGTTTTGCTCGACGCAGAGCTGGGTGCGTCTTAGCTATGTCTCTTTACAAGCACGCAATAAAATTACTGGTTGATTTCTGATCACTGTACTCATTTCCTCAATTCGAGCACGTAATTCTTCGCGTGTATTAACCGGTGTTTTATACACTAGAGATTTTAGCCAACCCCACAAACAAAAGTCTAAAGGATTTAAGTCCGGAGACCTTGGCGGCCAAGGTACAAAACCGCCACGGCCGATCCAACGATTATTAAATTGTCTATTTAAAAATTCACGCACATTTCTTGCATAATGGGGGGGTGCCCCATCTTGTAAAAACCACATGTTTTGTCTAATATTTAAAGGCACATCTTCCAGTAAACCAGGTAAATTGTGTTGCAAGAAATCAAGATAATTTTCACCAGTTAAGCGATTTGGTAATTCAGAAGGCCCCACTAAAATTCCATTAACAATTCCAGCCCACAGGTTGATTGGTTCAATTCGCTGTTGACAATTGGTTTCCCTTATTTCATGGGGATTTTCAATAGCCCAAACGTGAGCATTACGTGAATTAATAATTCCGTTTCTAGTAAAGAGGGCTTCATCACACACTAAAATTTGATTTAAAAAATTGTCATCATTTTGATGTTTATTTAAAAGCCAATTGCAAAAGTCAACCCTTTGTTCATGATCTTCCGGTTGTAAGGCCTGCACTTTTTGTATGTGAAACGGATAGAACTGATTTTCACGTAGAGTTTTCCAAGTTTTATACTGACTAATCGCCAATTGAGTTGAAATTTGTCGGGTGCTTACTGTTGGATCATCACTTACTAATTCTAAAATTGGTTCTTCTAGTGCTATTTGATCGTGTGGTCTTGGGCACCGGCATGATCTCCTCTGTGAGGTCTTAAGTCACCTGATTCACGAGCTCTTTGCACTACATTAACAAAGGCACGAGGGGTTGGTTGCAGTCGATTGGGAAACCGATCCGCATAAATCCGTGATGCCGCGGCAGCATTTTGTAAAGACTCCCCTCCCCGTAAATAAGAATCATGTCCCCAAGTTCAGCATTTTCGTAAACATGGGCCATTTTTTATTTCGTTTGAGCCACGCAACAAACACCACTATTCACTCACGCGTTACCGACTGACACAATGACTGAATACAACTGAATAAAATTGTAGTAAAAATATCGTGATAAGCGTTTCAAATTCTTTCGCTTTTTTGTTTCCGATGCGATGAACCGATAAGGCGGATTATATCCAACATTTCTTTTGATCAGATCTACTCACTGTTAAAATAAATGACTCAACTTCGAAGTCACCCTGTATATATATATATATATATGTCTGGATAAGATAAGGAAATACAGTCTGCCAAAAATTGAAAATAGACAACTTAAGAACGTGACTCACTTAATAACTTCCATGAATTGCAACATAACCAGAAAAGGCGCTATCACCGAATTCAAACCATTGACCATTCCATCTGTGGAGCAAGTAAGAAGCTACATGATGTAAACAGATGACAGGGGCAGTCATCAGACTTCAGGAAATTCGTTATACTAGAGCTTATAGTAAATGAGGGAGAACAACTGAGAGACCCTTCTACCACAAAGGTGACAGCAGAAGGAGCCATACAGTAAATACAGATTTCTACCACAGCTAAATGCAGAATGTCGAATAAATTGATAAGCTCGTTTGAAATACCTATAAAAAATGTAATTTATTTAATGGTTTGTTATTTGACCTAAATCTGTTTGATTGCTTGTTTGTTAGGAATTATGTACACGCTTTTATACTGGTATTTTTTTCATACAGGCAAGTTTTTATAGCAATCTATATGCTCAATGATACATTGTTGTATCAAGGACTTTAAATCAGATGTGTGGTGCTGCTTCCTTATCCGAACTTTTGTCTTGCAGGTACTAGATTTCAGTCCCAACAATGTTACATAGTAATAATCCCTTGTTGCTCTAAAAATTCTATTTTTGTGTTTTCGGATGACGTCAGTTTTCATGCAGGTATTCAGTGTGCCATACTGATTTCTATGGATGATCTGAATACTAACATGTTAGACCGAAAACTCTATGGAATCTGGTGCAGCTTAATGTCTCTAAGATACAGCGCTGAAACTAATAAGAAGCACACAAACTCACATCCGGAATTGACGCAAGAGAACTTTGCTTGAAGACGTCTCTAGCTCTTGGGAAATTATTATTGCAGTGAATTTTCGATTTGGGAATATCATATTTAATAATGAGGTTCCTTTTGTTGCTCAAAAAGGTTGTGACCCACCGGATATCACAGAATATAAGAAATGAGGTTCTTTGGGTGACGAAAACGATAGTCCCCAGTTTCCAGACAATTACAAGTACATCGAGGAAAAAATTTTCATTGCCATATATTATGACATGCATATCTTTCATTTTCTTGATTTTTACTTCCCGAATAACGGCGTCTGTCGCCAAAATATGCGAACTATGGAACTTGTCGAAGGAAATTATAAATCTATTAATCTTTACCGATACATAGATATTGAGATTCTTGTATTTTAGTACTCCTCATGCTCTACACAGAATCCGTAAGATTACCAGAAATTTTTCACTGAAGTTGGTTTACCCCTGCCAAAACGATTCGGTGAAAACTAAACAAATGCACAGAAAATATGCAGAAGCAGATAGCCTCATAATTCAAAGGTCATTCAGTATGCAATCCATTGTGATTCCAAGCGACAATCAAAATGTTATGCATACAGTGAAAACGATATATTTTAAGCACCCTTAAACTTTGTCGGTGTACTAGTTGGACCAAAGTTGAACGCTAAAGTTGTTCTGATAAATGATGGTTGTTTCTGTTTTACAGTTTTTCTGATAGAAGTTTCTTTCATTTCAGGGTCCGCGTGGAGTACTACGTCAATGAGAATACCTTTAAGGAACGACTGCAACTCTATTTTATCAAAAATCAAAGATCTAGTAAGTAACATACTCTAATATTACAAATTATTTATCTAACGGCAGTGAGAAATGTAACATAGGAGTATCATGGATCGACAAACGTACAAAAGCGTAATCTGAAGATGACTCCATTTTTCTCTGTAAATATTCTAATAAGCTGCAACGTTTCCGAAAAATCGAATAGTTAAGCCTGATGCTAATATCATTGTTCTATGTCTAAATCGAGATTGTATCAATAAATACGTATTGTTTATACATTATTCATAATTCATGTAAGTTCAAATGTATTCTACAAAAGTTATGATAGCTCACTATATTTAAAAAAAATGCCTTCTTCGATCAACCAGAGTAGTGTTGATTATCATTGGCTATATTTACATCGTCCTGCGCTAATTACAGAAAACCAGACAATCGTGTTGTTCCGTGCGCTAGGTCACGCTACACCACAGAGAACGCCTACTAGCAATTCGATAGGTAACACGAATGACACTTGTCGCAATGTTTTTGTACCAGATAAAAGTTAAAAATCGCAGTATTCGTTTCATTATACGATATAAGGTCTTACGTTAGCTGTCACTTGTCATTACTGTCTAATTGCCTATATTTTGAATTGAATTGATTCCTAGTTTCTTTTTCTTAAAAGATCCATTTGAGAAAAACATATTAATCAGTATAACATCGAGTAATGTAAGGTTTTATTTTAAAACGTGATCTTAATAAAAAATAATGTTATTCCTGGCGCCAAAACATCGTCATAAATAAATTAACAAATAGGAAATGTTGAACAATGATTCACACGTCTTAAATTTTTCATTCTCCTCAGATAGGCTTAAATAGAAGGGCTGTACAGTGATTTCATTCTCTATTTTGCACTCTACGTGATTTCGTCTCTTACCATATCATAATACCATATGTCTGATTCATCCCCCAAGACAACTATACAACACAGGTACCGCGACTCTGGAAAATCATCATCAATATAAAGACTAGGAGATTTTGAATCTGTGATTTCAACCTTATTATTGAAGAACTAAAGAACTAAAATATGTGAGTTAAATTTGCTATTTGCAATTCTCTAGTAGGTGTCCCTACAGCTTGGCTATTTGGCGTTGAACAGAACATTCCTTTGAAAAGCTGCTTCTGATCAGTTATTGATTAGTTTTTTTGCTGAAAAACAACATTGGGTATGAAGATATCGCATTGATTATGAAAGTGTGTTATAATCAGATCTTGTGGAAGCCCCCTTATGCAGATAGTACTATACATTAAAACTGTACAGTGTATGTCCCCTTGCACAACATTTTTAGAAGACCGCTTTTGCCTCAAATGGTTATTGATTGTAATGGGGGCAACACTTTGAGCCCCGACTCCAGATTCGTTCCACGACCTAGTTATATTGCATATATATATATCTGGCATACAATGTTAGAACCGACTGTATACCATACAAAGTTAGGACCACCAGAAGGAATGCAGCTACAAATGTGGTTCTAGGCATGATCTGGCAGCACGCCATTGTTATATCTAAATGCGGCGAGTATATACGGAAAAACTATTTTAAATTTATGACTTGCATATCGGACAAAGTGAGGACCGACCGAGCTCCTGACACAACAAGGTCCGTATATTGAAACACTTACAAGAAACAAAGTGAGGACCTTTCAGGATATATTCTCACTTAACGCATACAGAGTGAGAACCGCACAAGATCGCCTATCTCAACTTGTTTTTCTCAAAGTTCACTTTGTTTCACACGTAGCTATGACGCCGGCAATCGAGAGAGAGAGAAAGAGAGAGAGAGAAAGAGAGAGAAAGAGAGAGAAAGAGAGAGAAAGAGAGAGAAAGAGAGAGAGAGAAAGATAGAGAGAGAGAGAAAGAGAGAGAGAGAGAAAGAGAGAGAGAAAGAGAGAGAGAGATAGTTGTTGTTAAACTCCCCATCATGCAACACTAAAATGACGTCAAGTAGATTGATTCACTCTGAGAATAACGTGATTGGGCGATTTAGGATACATTTCGTGAGCGTCTGCGAAGTCTGATCCATGCAGAAGAGTGACACTTCCCAACATACAATAAAAAAATAACGTCTAGTAGGTTGACTTGTTCATAAATAACGATATTCGGCGGATTAGGATGCATTTGTGAGCATCTGTGAAATATGGTCCACTCAGGAGCGTAAAAAGCCCCACCACGCAACACTATAATGACTTTAAGTAGGTTGACTCACTCCAGGAATAACGTGATTGGGCGAATTAGGATACATTTCGTAAGCGTCTGCGAAATATGGTCCATGCATGAGTGTGAAACAGCGTACCAAACATCACTAAAATGATGTCAAGTAGGTTGATTCATTCAAGGAATAACGTAAATAGGAGGATTAGGTTACATTCCACGTCTGCGAAATGTGGTCCATGCAGGAGTATAAAACACTCTACCATGCAGCATTAAAATGATGTCAAGTAAGTTGACTCGTTCAAGGAATAACTTAATTAGGAATTGGGATATATTTCGTCAGCGTCTGCGAAATGTGGAACATGCAGAAGAGTGAAACACTTCTTCGAGCAACATTTAAGTGACGTCAAGGACATTGACCCGTTAAGGAAATGACGTTATTAAGTGGAACAATGTCAAAAGCGCTACGAGGCTGAATGGTACCACAGTAAAATGGAAGCCTTAAGTTATTGAATGACCTCATTTGAGATGCCTAACACCATTTTCATTCCTATAGTCACAGATATGGTGTAGGGAGCACTGTTGGTTTCTAGTAATAGATACCGCATACTGTTAAATTTGAGAGTAAACGTAAATTTAGTTTTATGGCAATCCCAAACTTGTCCTCGAGTTATGTCGATATAAATTTATTGGAAGGCAATGAGAAAGTTTTGAAACCACGGGTTTTGTGCTCATGTAGGTCCGTGCACGACTATGGGCGACTCTATGTGTGGGCTTATCATGAGTGGAAAGCGGTACGCGTCTGCCTTATTGGTTTATTATCAGCAAATTAATCGTAATTCGTAATTCTAAGGAATGACTTAATGCGTTTTTTAATATCGTTTGAGGATCTTGCCCCAGAAATACGGTTAATGTATGTGGAATTGCTTGGAAGATAGCACCTGTTGATTGAATGAGTGCGTCAGAGGGGACATTTATCATATGAGATCAGAGAAGTACAGCTAAGTCTTGAGACTGCAAGTATTGACTTTGCATCCAGATGGTAGCACTTTCCCAATTGTAATAGATCTAGGAATTATGGTTTACAAGGTTTCCACTGTTATCTATAAACTCTTTTCTTTACCTTAGGTAGATGATTATCAAAGAAGCAAAGTTTTGTGTGAGAAATTGGACAAATACGATCCAGCGAGAATATTTTGATATTTGTTCACGATAGATAGGAGCTACTTTTGTCGACTTTTGATATGAGGGTTTTCTTCTAAAATTCGAGAGATACCGATTTGTGAAAGAATTTTGAATGTTTATGTGCAATAAGAAAAATGAAGAATCCAAAAGGATGTTATCGTAGCCATGCAAAGTTTCAGTTCCCAATATATCCATTTGAAAATGTACATATGCGTGTAATTTATTATAAGTGGATATCAGTTACCTAAAGGTTTCTTATTTGGAGAGGAGTAAAGACAGCCATCTGAACGTCCTTCCAGGGGTATTGCATCTTCCACACAGTCTCCAGTTACAAGACCTTATTCACGAGTCAGAAATCTATGTTCCATGAGAGTAGGAGTGGTAATATTTATCTTGTTATATCAAATTCCCAATCTACGAGTGATTCTTGTTTGGTATAAAAAAGTAGCAATAGTTGCTTGGTGCTATTGCGTACAGAAAAAGGCCAAGTAATAGTTCGAACAGGCATAATAAGATTTGTGAAGTGCCAGATTTTTTGTAGTAGCAATTTTAATATGGAATTCAAATGAAGTGAATGATAACAAACTAACCAGTCAAGGTGAATATGAATAACTGCAAAAATTCGACGGAAGCAAAACACATAAATTTATCTGAATTGATTAGCGTATTTCTCACAATATTTTATTAAAATACAGTTATTTCATTTATAATATCTAAATTTCTGTCACACATCGAAACTTGATATGTTCTCCCTGCAAACTTGTTATTAAATTTTTTTAATTCTATTGAATCGTTCCATTTTTGAATACATAGTTCGTACCATAGAAGCACTTTTTAGGAAGGACTGTGATATCTTGATAGCTCCCGTTTCAAGACAATCGTCAAAGCATGTCCTTCAGAAGTATCATATACAATAATTGGACGATAAGGAAGTACAAGTATTTCTGGTAGCACTGTCATGTGTGCTTCTTCGGAAAGCTCTTACCGGACCGCCAGTCTTATTTTTCTAAGATTTTCCAAACACATTCTTTCGATAATGTCTCACTGAATCAATTAATTAAAATGCATAATTTCTTTAAAGCACCTTCATAAATCAACGTCTCCACGAATTGTCATTTTTTGACAGTATTGCCCTTTAATATTTGTAACTGCGATCCTATTTCATAAAAAGTATGGTGTAATAATCACAAGTCAATTTACTTGTAACTTTTACTCATACTAATACACACGATGTACTGCTTCATATTATGCAATTTACAAAAACCATATTCGCAAGTTGGATGCTTATTTTCCATAAAAGTACAAGTGATTCTAGCGTGGTTCAGAAAAAAGGACAAACTTCTTGGTACAAAAAAGGGTCAGATGATAGTAACTCCTCTTATAGAGAAGATCAAAAAATATTTGGAATATGCTGATTTTTTGGTAGTATCAACTTTAGTATCGAATTCGAATTCAACGGATGATAAGATAGGTCTTAAAATATCAGCCAAGATCAACTACTCATAATATGGCTAACTCTGCATGATTTTTTCTAAATAAAACGTGTTTTGATGTCATACATTTTTCGAATAATCCAAATATACGCCCTATGAAGTATTTTGCGATTCGGTCGCCATTTCTAAATATGACTGTCTTAAGACTCAAGCCACGTGATCTTTTCCTTCAAATACTGTATACATTTTATCAACTTCCAGACTAACGTACAGGTCTCATATCAGTACACACGTTACCAATTATAGCACCTTGTCTTA